ATAGATAGATAGATAGATAGATAAATAGATATAGACTGATGGACTGCTAGAGATAAACAGATTGACAGATGAACAAGCAGAGAGATACTGTCATATTCAAACCCATACTTATTACCTATATATCTAAATATACTGGACAATAAGCAAAAATGGCAAGGTTTTAATCCCTTGGTTGGGCTATAAAAGGACAAAGAATGGTATCAATTGATCAAATCCTCACTATGAATAAGCATCTGTGCTTTTATCTAAATTATCATCTTTAACTATCATATCTATCCAATCAAACTAAACATGTTTTTATGCACTGTTTCTCTATCAGTATATGTATCTATGAAGTTACCTGATGTGATGACACAATCAACATCACGGGTCTGGTATAGCTCACTGTAGAAGTCATCTCTCGAGGCTTCTAACTTCTTGTCAAAACAAGGCATCACTGTAACATGGTAGACCTGTCAATGATATAGTAGATTACCAAAAAATAAATCACAATAGAGATAGTAACAGGTTAACTGAAATTAGCCATTTCTTCAAATATAATGATTATATAAATCATATCACACTTTTTATCAGTCAGGACTGTAACATATGAAAATCTGCTTTTATGTTGCCTTATTTCATAAAAACCAATTCAAGTTCCCAATCAAAAAAATTAATCAGTATTTTACTTTTTCTGGAGATATCTTATTTTTTGCAGCCCACAGGTCCTTTACAAGAGCCCCCATAACTTGCTGTGGACTCCTAACGCTGCTAATGTAAGGCAGAATGTAGGACCCATGTGTCTTCTCAGCATAACAGATCCAACCTGGTTTGGGAAGAAATACCCTTACATCAAAAAGACGGAGAAAGAATGATGAAAACACATTAATCTCACTATCAATTTATCACTGTTTAATATGAGTTCAGATATGAAAAATCATATCTATAATGTTATCTATGTAATGTAAAATCTATAACATAAATCATTCTTTTTAAGTGTTCGATATACATACCAACTGTCAGTAAATTATTTCAAAATAACACAACACAGTTCTGTACGAACACTTAATTACAAACATAATTCAACACTCTAACCTATTTTGTTTACCTGGACAGGCAGATGCAAGCATAGGAAAGGCTTTTGGATCTGAATCTTTCCTCCTGTATCTCTCTATGAATTCTTTCTGTGCCTCTAATAAGCTGAGGCTCCTGGCAAAGTTTGTATCGAAGACATGATGGACACCGAGGCCCTTAAGGTATCCTTGGAGGGAGGGGGGAATAATAACAATAATATAGCAGAAATCATTAAGGCTCTCTTAACTGTTAAAAGGAAATATGGAACAAAGATTTTTCACATCATGCATAACACTGCCATATACTTACAGTCCCATTCTATTACATTCACAGACCTAACATGTGTATTTGTCGTTTTCCTTACCTGTTAATTTCTGAGCACAGTCATCTGCATTTAGTCCAAACTTAGCAGCTAATGAAAGCACTGACTGCGGGGAAAGGGATACAACTACTGTGCGTCTTTCCTCTTCACCGAGGTTGCTGTTTTCTGCCAGGACTCTGTCAAGTGAAAAATTAACTTCAGGATATGCATATTCAAAACCACATGAAGGAATTAAACTTACAAATATCTGGTTGTGCAAAATATACAGAATGTTAAGTTCCATTTTCTCAGCTGAATGACAAAGAATAAGCATTGACACATGTGACAAAAAACAACACAAGTTTATTAAAAAAATAATTGAAATATCATTGAAATTGTAATATCACCTTTCACAAAGGCCCGAACTGTCCCTTTATTACAGAACTTTCTTTTCCTTTTATAGTTACGAGGGCTTCTTTTCCATATGAAACAGGTATATGCCGACTGCCTACCTGTAAAACTCTTCATGACTTTGCTGGCTGACCAGGACCACTTCGGCCGACGTGATGCAGCCACTGCACGCTAGACAGTCATTTAGAGTAATCTTGGCCTTTTCATACTTTGGCTGCAAATAAAGTTAAAGTAGTGTTTTTGTTTTACTCTGGCCTAATGTGTCGTTTTAGATTATTAAAGTCTACAGGTAATAGACAAAAATACAATGCACAAAATAAATTAATTATGCATGGCAGTTTTTTTTTTTCAGAAATGTCATTAACATATTAGAAAGTCTCACCACCTGTCATGGATCTCAAACTGATAAAAATCTAAACTAGTTTATGGGCAAATTATCAAATCTTTTGTCATCACTATCTTTCTAAATTTTTTGGCCTAGTCCAGAATAGAATTCCTTAAACATGGATGTTAAAAGAAAAAAAAATCATACTATTTACTATTAATCTTCAAATGAAGTGTATTGAACCATTATCAAATAACTTCCATATACTAAGGAAAATGAGAGGGAAAGGTAGCCTGCTTAGCTCTGTGGGACCTCACCTCTTCTAGTGGGTCATCTGCCTTGTCATTTTCAATTTTGATGACGCCTCGGCCTGCCTTCTGCTCCACCTTCACTGGCTTTATACATTCCTG